TGAAATTATAATTATATTTGTGTGTGTGTGTGTGTGTGTGTGTGTGTGTGTGTGTGTGTGTGTGTGTGTGTGTGCGTGTGTGTGCGTGCGTGTGTGTGTGGGGGGATTCCGAGGGCTTATGCCTTGTGCGAGACCGCAATAATAACAATATTTAATAATATTATAATATAATTTAAAGGGCTTATAAATATTTTGGAAATAATACCTATACCTATACTGACAAAGAAAAAGGGAAAAGTTAAATGTTCACGTACACCTAGACCGAAATAGTTCCATTTACCAGGTCGCCGGTACAAGATTTGCATGTTTGCTCCAACCTTTACATCTTGAAGACTGTTTGCATCGTAAAACCAAAGTTAGCAAGCAAGCCCTAATAGTTATAAGGTGTTTAATCATTCTCTCTCTCTCTCTCTCTCTCTCTCTCTCTCTCTCTCTCTCTCTCTCTCTCCACATACACACACACACGTACACAAAGAGAGAGAAACACACAGAAACACACACATACATAGATAAACCCACACACACACACACACACACACACATATATATATATATATATATATATATATATATATATATATATATATATAAATATATATGAGGTAGAAATAATTCACACTGAATGACCATCACTGAGGTAGAAATAATTCACATTGAGTGACCATCACCTGAGGTAGAAATAATTCACACTGAGTGGCTATAACCTAATGTAGAAATAATTCACACTGAGTGGCCATCACCTGAGGTAGAAATAATTCACACTGAGTGACCATCACCTGAGGTAGAAATAATTCACACTGAGTAACTGTCTCACTGACTGTCTCACTGACCGTCTCACTGACCGTCTCACTGACCGTTTTACTGACTGTCTCACTGACTGTCTCACTGACTGTCTCACTGACTGTCTCACTGACTGTAATTGGTTTTCATTCAAAGGGCACTCACAAACTGTTGCCAAGGTAACCTAATCGTTACAATAATAATATGATTGTTTACCCACTTTCCCAGAGCTAGAGAGTTACACAAGTTATCCACCATGGCTTCCGCTAAACAGAAAAGAGCGCCATTTATTGCCCGCAAGTTGAAGTTCTTGAGAGATCAGGGAGATCTTTTGATCGACGCCGTTGGGGGATATGTCGATGTGGTATGTGTATTTGTTTCTGGTGGAATAGACTGTGTTTATTCAGATGAGATAAAAACATCGTAATCATATGTTTTTCCACATCATTAACATCATCATATCATTAGCATCATCAACATTACTGACATCATTAGCATCATCAACATCATCAGCATCATTAGCATCATCAACATCATTGACATCATCAACATCATCATTATCATTAGCATCTTCAACATCATTGACATCATCAACATATTTAACATCTTCAACATCATTGACATCATCAACATAATTAACATCATCCACATGAGCATCATTAGCATTGTCAGCATCAGTAACATCGTCAACATCAGTAACATCATCAAGTAACACTTCTTTATTTCCTCCAGTTTATTCATCACAGTGTTAGGTAAATAAAAAATAGAAAAGGGGGGGGGGGGGGGAGGCGGTTGTAAGGATCTTCTGTGTGCTCCTTTCACTGCTCTATATAAGTTGATCTTCATGTAAATTGACTTGTAACTGTGTATGGATTCCTTATGTGATCGTTTTTCGCTGTCAATTTAATCCCATGGGGCCTTTATCATATCTGCTTTTTAATATAGTAGCTCACCGTCCAGAGGCGCGGCAGCAGCTGATCTATCAACCTGCTCGTTACCTCACCCACCCGAATATCCTGGACCTGTTATACTGATGACATGATGCACTGTTTCCTTCCTCTCTCCCCGCCCTCTTCCATGTATTCTAAAACAAAGCCTAAGGAGACGACGTTGTTTATAAGTTTGGTGCTGTAATTTAAAGTTTAAATAGTCATTTTCTGTCGTCTCCACTAAAGCTTCTAGTAGTTGTTTGAGAGACTGAATGGTCAGTTTATTGATGCCTCACTTGGGCCGTACGCCCCTGTTGAGCAACATTTTACAGATTCATAGTTCAATGATGACCTTCTGGGAATCTTTGTGCTTTTGCAGATAGTCGCAACAGGAAAGTCATGGATAGAAGGGGGAGACAACCAGATGAGTTACTCGGAGTTATGCCAGATGATAGAGACTGCGGCAGAGTTTCTGTGTGAGAAATGTGAAGAACTAGCAGGTGAGGTCATGACAGGCTACTGTCCTGACAGTGACAGAAGTGTTGCTGACAACTGTCACAGTCATAATTTGTTCATCTAAACTTGTCTATCAAGCTAACAATTGTTTATAAATGTCCTTTGTTTTCATGAACACGTAAAACATGTTTTCCTCGTTACACCCAAGCAGTACGCCAGTTGTAGGTGACTGACTGATATTATAATGATATTATATATATATCATAAACATGTCAACTCTTCTATACTGGATAATGGGGGCACCACGCGCAATGAACGTGTATCCACACGTACAAGATGTGGGTAAAGGGCAGATCATGTATCCACACGTACAAGATGTGGGTAAAGGGCAGATCATGTATCCACACGTACAAGATGTGTGTAAAAGGCAGATTATGTATTCACATTTACAAGATGTGGGTAAAGGATTGATCATGTATCCACATTTACAAGATGTGGGTAAAGGATTGATCATGCATCCACATTTACAAGATGTGGGTAAAGTATTTGCCATGTATACATATTTACATGATGTGGGTAAAGGACTGATCATGTATCCACATGTAGGAGATGTATGAAGAAGTAACTTTCTGTCTCCACTTACACATTTTTTGCGGAATGGCTCTTTGATCCACCACAAACCTTTGGTTTTTGCTGCATGTTCGTTTTATGGTGAGGATTTTGTGGATTCTAGTTTCTCCCCAGATCCTAGATCAGTATTTTTAGGATCAAGGCTTTTGAAAATAGTGGGGAAAACCTGCACGTTTCCTGTGTAACAGTTTCTTCTGCTGGTTGACTTTGAAAATAAGACACCAAGTAAACCCTTAGTATGACACATTTCAATCTGATGAAAAGTCTCCGCAAAATAATCCTTCTACTGTTTGTGATTCTCTTTGTCGTCATCATCATCATCATCTTCATCATTAACAGCATCATCAAACTTAGCATGTGCCGCGTCGGTACGCGTAGGATGTCGTGTTTTTCCATCTCACACGATCACAAAAAATCACAGATCAGTTCAATGTTGTAGACTCGGCCCATCTGTCTGGCCAGGCCATACAGGTCTCTGTGTCTCCTTGTCCTCCCCTAACTCTCTTTCCATCACTGTTGCCCGTAGTTACCAAGCTCTTGGGACCTTTCTTCGTGTGCGTACATTTGATTTCTTGCCAATGCCAATGATGTTGCATTAGGAATCCACATCAAAGCATTCGGGACACTTCCATAAACGCCCCGTCCCCATCTTCACCAGCAAGCGAACAGTTCCAGTTCGGATGGCACCAGTAACTGTTTGATTGTACATCCGTCTCGCCTTTCCGCCTGAGTGTTGAGCGTCTGCAAATCCCCGGGTAATTCTCTGCAGCGCCTTTTCCCTCAGAACGTAACGATCGATTTGTGCCTCCGCACTGTTCACTCGTTCCCAAATGGCTCTTACAATATCTAGCTTGTCATACATCATTTCACCATCACGCGGTGCAGAAACAGCCAGTCTTTCTGCCTGCTCCTTCCTCAAGACACCGGCATGATATGGAGCAAATATCTAGTGCACGTTAACTACCCAGGTCCTCTGAAGCGATGCTTGCCACTCTGCACGGAGCAATGCTAAGGAATTGTTGAACTGTTCAGAACTACTTGTGTAGTTTATGAAAGGTGACTGCAGCACTTGTGGGGGTGTCCATCATTAAATGGAGTGATTTTTTAACCAAAACTGACACACTTGTTGGACCTGATTGTCTGTTTCCTCGATTCCTTAACAGATGCGTCAGTAAATGTTGCAGTAAACCAACAGTCACCTTACCAACAGCCGGACTCAACATTACAGTTAACAACAGTGACTATCTCAGCAGCAACACCAGTTTTGACAGCTACAACATCCCACAGACCGGCAACAGAACCTGTTCAACTTGCAGGTTGGTCAACTGTGTTCCAATTATTAACATAATGACTAACACATTTTGATCAACGGCCACGAAATGACCGATCAGATCATGGATAAGATGGCACTGCTGAAATGTTCATAAAGATTTATAACGTTACACAGGAGTAATATATCGTCTGCCATTCATTTGTTCGTGATGTCAGTTTGTGACTGTCATGTTTGTTGTCCTATGTCTGCCTGCTGTAGGTGTGTTGTTGACGATGTAGTAATATGCCTGTATTTGATGTTTCCTGATGTTCCCACATGTAGAAACTGTTTGACAAGTGCTTTAGTATATTAGCGTGGTATGTAAACACTGAATGTATTTGTTATTGAGATGACACATCTTGTGTTTCTTTCTAGTCTACAGATTGTGCTGAGATCTCTGTGGTGTAGACTGTTGAAAATGTCTTGAGAGTTTGGCCATCAAATGTTTACATAAAAAGTTCTTGCTGTTGTGTCTGTAGTCTAACCATCGGTCCGACGTTCAACACTCAATGGAAAGGTGAGATGGATGTACAATCAGAAAGTTACAGGTGCCATCAGAATTAGAAGTCTTCGCTAGCTGCTGAAAAAAGGAGACGGAGCGTATATGGGGGTGTACCGAGTGCTGTGAGATGATGATTTGTAATTCAGCATTCAAAATGCAATATTTAAGTCCAAAATGTGCTGCTTGTTGTTACTGATACCATGTTGACAGGAGCCTACCAGTAACAACTTCTTCATTTCAGTAATCATTTTCATGTTATTTGAATTTATCCACAGATGAAACTCAACTGAAGCCGATTTTAGCAAGAGTATCTGTTATTGAAGAGGACTTACGCTCCTTCCGGAGCAATGTAGCAAGAGTCACTAAACAACAAAGTGATATTGAGCAACAAATGAAGGAATTATTGTCCAAACTTTCAGAGTCAGCCAAGCAAGCCAACTCAAAGTTCAGAAAAGTCAAAGAACAAATCACTGAGATCAACGACACACAAGTTGCATTGGACCAAGAACAGGAGACAAGATTACAAAGTCCTGAGACACAGCTGCAGAAATTATCAACGGAACAAAACAGAACGAAGGCAGAGATGGAATCTCAGACAGAACTGACAGAGAAACAGCTGCAGAAGTTATCTACGGCACAAGACAGAATGAAAGAAGAGATGGAATCCCAGGCCGAACTGACAGAGAAACAGCTGCAGAAGTTATCTACGGCACAAGACAGAATGAAAGAAGAGATGGAATCCCAGACAGAACTGACAGAGAAACTGGTTTACGTACCTGATCAGCTAAAGTCTGTGAAAGAAAAGCTCGATGTATTCGATGCTAGAATTGGTAGAATCATGGATGACTGCAGCAACAAGCATCAGGATATAGAACATGTAACACGTGACCTGGCAGACAAGGTCATGGCTAACACAGAATCTCTCAAAGTCATATCTGCAGATCAAGATCAGAGAACGACATTGTTGAGAGAACTGGAGACAAGAATACAGACATTGGAAGCAGACAGTGGGAGAAATGTGGAAGATGTCCGGAAACAGGTTAAGAAAGGGGAGACAAATGTGAGTATATACTTGTCAACTGTCAAATTGTTTTTACGTAACATTATTATTAACCCTGAGTGTGAAATTTCAGATTTAGGGGGGTGTTTGATGCGTCTGTCTTCTTCTGCCTCTCATTGTTCTAGTCATTGACCATGTTATACCTACAGACACATTGCTGGAGTGCAGTCGTTCCTCTCCAGTCAATACTGTTCCATAATTTCTTGGTGTCATTTCTCTATCTGACCTCATCTGGCAGTGCCGCCTTCTGTTACTGCAACATTTTTGAAGTTCAATATTTAGTAAAGACCACACGGGTTTAAGATTTCGGTATGAAGTTGGGATTAAACGGGGAAGTTACAGAATCAAGACAAGCATGACCACAACAGCAAGAGTAAACAACATGACTAGCTGGTGGAAAGAGATGAATGTCGACTTCAGCCAAGCATGACCACAACAGCAAGAGTAAACAACATGACTGGCTGGTGTAAAGAGATGAGTGTCGTCTTCAGCCAAGCATAACCACAACAACAAGAGTAAACAACATGACTGGCTGGTGTAAAGAGATGAGTGTCGTCTTCAGCCAAGCATGACCACAACAGCAAGAGTAAACAACATGACTAGCTGGTGTAAAGAGATGAATGTCGTCTTCAGCCAAGCACGTTCACAACAGCAAGAGTAAACAACATGACTAGCTGGTGTAAAGAGATGAGTGTCGTCTTCAGCCAAGCACGTTCACAACAGCAAGAGTAAACAACATGACTAGCTGGTGTAAAGAGATGAGTGCCATCTTCAGCCAAACATGAACACAACAGCAAGAGTAAACAACATGACTAGCTGGTGTAAAGAGATGAATGCCGTCTTTAGCCAAGCAAAGGTAAGTGTTTTGTAATGTTCTTTGTCATTAAAGTTCTGATGTCAATTTTCAGTTCCAGATCATGTGTCAGATGTTAAACGATCGAGTGACTCCACTAGAACAACTTAGAACTTGTCTCAATGACAAAACCAGCACGCGAGATGAGAATATCAAGCAGGTTCGTTTTTACATAGATAAAATAGATTTACTTAAAGGTAAATCTGTGGAATAAAAGCAGTTGAATTGAATAAGACAAAAATCTATGACTGTTTGACAAAAATCGACTTTGACAAAAATGTAATTCCTTGTGTGCGTTCTGTAGCCCTTGTGTGTGTATGTGTGTGCGTGTGTGTGTGTGTGAGTGTGTGGTTGCGGGGGGGGGGGGGAATGAATAGACCCCCAACTCCCTAACAAGCATGTGTTGACTGATTAGGAGTGTTTTCTTCGACATCTACATGGTCTCTTATGTAACATGTTGGTTTCTGACTTCTGTATCTCAGAGCGACTTCACCAAACCCAGTTTCTGAAAATGTTTACTCTCTTTCATAATAAAATTAACAATTCATAATTTTTTTTTTTTTTTTGTTTGGTTTCTCGCCCAGTTAGTCTCCAAATGAACCATCTTTTCTGACAAACGGCATTTATTTGTTGCTCAATATAAAGTCGCACTGTTCAATGTGCCGGCCTCTGGCATACAATCATACCTTCTCGGCCTCGCCTCATTGAGTAGATTACGTGTAAGACTGAAGCTTAGACAAGATAGTCCAAGCATGTATAAGGTTTTTTTTTTTAGCACATTTTGAGGTGGACTGAGCAGGTTTTAGACAAGGCGGTCAAGCATGTCCAATAATGCTCAATTTGTGTGCGATCAATGTGACGTTGTTGATCAAGCACAAAGAATAATAATGATGTTCTGTAAGAGAAATGCAATATTTGAGCTCGTGTTCATTGAGAGGTTGCATTGACAAGCCTTAAAAAAGTCTGGTCCAGACCTTAGAAAAATTGCACAACATTTGGTATCGGGACATGACGTATGTAGCGCCGTGAAGTGATGTTCCAGACATGACGTTTGTAGCGCTGTGAAGTGATGTTCCAGACATGACGTATGTTGCGCTGTGAAGTGATGTTCCAGACATGACGTATGTTGCGCTGTGAAGTGATGTTCCAGACATGACGTTTGTAGCGCCGTGAAGTGATGTTCCAGACATGACGTTTGTAGCGCTGTGAAGTGATGTTCCAGACATGACGTATGTTGCGCTGTGAAGTGATGTTCCAGACATGACGTATGTTGCGCTGTGAAGTGATGTTCCAGACATGACGTATGTTGCGCTGTGAAGTGATGTTCCAGACATGACGTTTGTAGCGCCGTGAAGTGATGTTCCAGACATGACGTATGTAGAGCTGTGAAGTGATGTTCCAGACATGACGTATGTTGCGCTGTGAAGTGATGTTTCACTGAATTGTCACCAGCTGTGATCTAAACTGCTCTGTTATTCCTTCTAATACAAAAATGCTCCCTCTTCCCGCTCCCCTTTCCCCATCAAAGCCCAAAGCCTCGCGATGCAGTTATGTGCATATCGTTTATGTGGACGCCTTAACACGTGATTCTGCCATCATGTCTTTCTATCATGAATCTCGGCCGGTCTGATAACATGACAGACTGTCGTTGACTTCAAGGACATCTGACGTCACATCTACCCACTGAACTCTATTCTGGATGTGACGGGGCTGAATTCTATTCTGGATGTGGCGTGGCTGAACTCTATTCTGGATGTGACGGGGCTGAACTCTATTCTGGATGTGGCGTGGATAAAATCTAATGCCGCCATTTGACCGGTACCCATTTTAGGCTGGGTCGACCTGCTAAGTCCCATACCACGATAAAAAACCCACGCAGCCCGCAGTGGGTTTCGATCGCGGTACGTTGGATTACGAGCCGCAAAATATAATATAATATAATATAATATAATATAATATAATATAATATAATATAATATAATATAATATAATATAATATAATATAATATAATATAATATAATATAATATAATATAATATAATATAATAAATATAATATAATATAATATAATTCAATATAATATAATAAATATAATACAAAAAACTTAATAAAATATCATAAATATAATATTAAAAACTAAAATGTATTATAATGTAATATAAGATAATTCAATTATGATATCGTCCACACGTGGAGTGAAATTTTTAGTTATTCTGAAGCCTCACCCTGGCTTTTTTCCGGGGGCCGTACATATAGCCGGGCCTTAAATGTGGCCTAACGGCTGAACGGGGTTTCCTGGACCTCTCCACTGGTGATCCTCATCCGTATGGTGACACTTTGTGTCATCGGGTGTTGATCGCTTGTGTGATGTCCTGTTGCAGTACAACCTACCTGTCTACCTATTATATAACAAAACATAATATATGTATGTTTATCTTTCAGCTGACGCAGGTAATCCAGGAGGTAGCAGTTATGTCCCCGAGAATACAACAATTAGGTAACTTTTGCATCTTCATCTACAGTCATCATTACACTGTTGGTGTTGCATTTTGAATATTCTCATTATTATTTGCCTTCCCCCGTCAAGGTTGCCCGGATCTATTGTGCGGTGTGTGGATGAATACTCTACCGCCCTCTAACAAGTCGTCGACTAATTAGTGGTTTTTCCTTTGATGTCAGGATGCACCCGCCTGAGACGCTAGGAATCGTTTGCATATAAATAGGTCAGATCTGTAAAACCGAGGTTCTGGAACTAGACTTGAGTCCGAAGTGGACGAACAACCAAAATATTCCGTCAGAATTTATAGCAAGTGAACGATAAGAAGAAGACTATTGAAGTGTCTAGTCTGGAGCAAATATTAGCGATCATCACTCCTCACTGTCTGTCTGTTTTCGGGACTTGTTATAGAACTGTCTTTGTTGTAATTATGTTATATTTGTTCGGGGTGCTGGCACCACTATACCATGTAACATTTTAGTGTGGGTCGAGGACTGACACATCCCATCCTTCCTGAGAACATGTATAACGGGCCTAGTCCCTCCTTAGAAGGGCAAAATGTAAAACGGGCCTGCGGGCCTATTTCTTAACGCTTTAGAAAAAAAGTGTTTTTGTTCGTTCATTCGTTCGTTCTTTCCTTTCTTCCTTCATCCACACATTTATGTTCAATCATTAAACAAGTTATAATTATGGCACCTGTAACGGCTACACCACCCAGTGTAACCGGTAGTCCTGTATGTATGTGTGCGTGTCTGTCTGTCTGTCTGTCTGTCTGTCTGTCTGTCTGTCTGTTTGTCTGTCTGTCTGTCTGCCTGCCTGCCTGCCTGCCTGCCTGCCTGCCTGCCTGCCTGTCTGTTTGTCTGTCTGTCTGTCTGTCTGTCTGTCTGTCTGTCTGTCTGTCTGTCTGTCTGTCTGTCTGTGTGTATGTCTGTATGTGTGTGTGTGTGTATATGTATGTATGTATGTATGTATGTATGTATGTATGTATGTATGTATGTATGTATGTATGTCACTTTGTTTTTATCTCTGACGTATAACAACACTGCTCATGAGAAATACGTTTTCTTTTCTTGTTTTCTAGTATCGTGACCTGAATGTATCGATGATCTCAATTTTAGATCGATCCACTTGCTTTCTTGTGAAGTCGGTGGTAATGTTTACTGTACAGCCAAGCGCAGTAACATAGCGACCCGTTGATTATGTGTTCAAATCCCAGACATCATCATCATCATTCAGCAGGTCTTTTACAGAACGTCGCTCTCGTCACTGCACGCCTAAAAGTCTCTATTTCTCTCTAGCCAGTTCCCCCGTACTGTGGGCTGTCCCAACCAAAACATCTCCAATGTCCTGATCCATCTTCACAAAGATCTGCCTCTGCCTTGTTTTCCAGAAACTGTAGCCTCCTCCGCCGTTCTCTCCAGACCCCAGTTACGTTTTACATGGCTAAAATAGATCAACTTTCGTGGCTGGATGCTGTTGATGAGCCAGTTCTCCTCAGTTCTCTCATCATATCGAACAAAGATTTTGGAACTAATCTACACTATCTGATCTACTCTATCTGATCTACACTATCTGATCTACACTATCTGATCTACACTATCTGATCTACACTATCTGATCTACACTCTCTGATCTTCACTATCTGATCTACACTATCTGATCTACACTTTCTGATCTGTACTATCTGATCTACACTATCTGATCTACACTATCTGATCTACACTATCTGATCTACACTATCTGATCTACACTATCTGATCTACACTATCTGATCTACACTAACTGATCTACACTATCTGATCTACACTATCTGATCTGTACTATCTGATCTACACTATCTGATCTACACTGATCTACACTGATCTACACTATCTGATCTACACTAACTGATCTACACTATCTGATCTACACTATCTGATCTGTACTATCTGATCTACACTATCTGATCTACACTATCTGATCTACACTATCTGATCTACACTATCTGATCTACACTATCTGATCTACACTAACTGATCTACACTATCTGATCTACACTATCTGATCTACACTATCTGATCTACACTATCTGATCTACACTATCTGATCTACACTATCTGATCTGTACTATCTGATCTACACTATCTGATCTACACTATCTGATCTACACTATCTGATCTACACTATCTGATCTACACTAACTGATCTACACTATCTGATCTACACTATCTGCTCTACACTATCTGCTCTACACTATCTGATCTACACTATCGGATCTACACTCTCGGATCTACACTCTCTGATCTACACTATCTGATCTACACTATCTGATCTACACTATCTGATCTACACTATCTGATCTACACTATCTGATCTACACTATCTGATCTGTACTATCTGATCTACACTATCTGATCTACACTATCTGATCTACACTATCTGATCTACACTATCGGATCTACACTCTCGGATCTACACTCTCTGATCTACACTATCTGATCTACACTATCTGATCTACACTATCTGATCCACCAAATCTAACATTAGAGCATGGGAAGTGAAGACAGCTAGCATCAAGTTGTCACATCACCCGCTGGTTGTTTATTGGTTCATCCCAATCTGTGGGCTGACACAGTAGACCCAGATCATCTCAATGTGTTTACTGCTGTTCTTTTTTGTATTCCTTACCTATTGAATAACTTTTTACAACTATGCATCAGGGATAGTCTTTTTTTTTCAAATATACATCCATACTTGTAAATTGACACGAGAACGAAAATTCTTAAGAGTCATATAAATCCTACCCTCATATACGGAAATGTATCATGAACCATTAGGTGACTGTTGAAACATTATTCACATGCGGCAGAGATGTCATTGAATAGACCAATGGTGAGAATAAAATGGAGAGATAACAAATCAATAAGGATTTATTGAAAGAAACTGATTCACGAAGAGAAACGACTGACCTCATCAGAAGGAGACAATATGTATTAATGGCGAAAACTGGAGTATATCGTTATGATGGGAAAGATGAGAGGAAAAGATTCAGGAGAGGCGGAGAGACAAGATGCCGGACAGATTGACATCACGGCCTAGAAGATAATCTGTGTCAGAATTGAATGTTATAATACGGATACAATTACCATTCAAGTGTTTATTTGTTTATAGTAATATTATATTGACACCATGTATCAAATAAACCATAAGATGTGAGGATATGTCCTTAATTTGTGTATGTGTGTGTTTGTATGTGTGTGAGTATGTGTGTGTGAGTATGTGAACTGATCAGTTCTATAATATCCTGTCTGGAAAATATCTCACACAGAAACAACAGACAGGGTCACAGAAGTGTTATGAAGCCAAGAAAAAAGAACTTAATGTCACAGTTTCCATTCTGATTGTACCACCACAATGGCAGATCCCCATATGTTGTCACTGTAGCACCACAATGTAAGATCCCCATATGTTGTCATTGGAGCACCACAATGTCAGATCCCCATATGTTGTCACTGTAGCACCACAATGTCAGATCCCCATATGTTGTCACTGTAGCACCACAATGTCAGATCCCCATATGTTGTCATTGTAGCACCACAATGTCAGATCCCCATATGTTGTCACTGTACCACCACAATGTCAGATCCCCATATGTTGTCACTGTAGCACCACAATGTCAGATCCAAATATGTTGTCATTGTAGCACCACAATGTCAGATCCTCATATGTTGTCATTGTACCACCACAATGTCAGATCCCCAAATGTTGTCATTGTACCTCCACAATGTCAGATCCAAATATGTTGTCACTGTAGCACCACAATGTCAGATCCCCATATGTTGTCACTGTACCACCACAATGTCAGATCCCCATATGTTGTCACTGTAGCACCACAATGTCAGATCCCCATATGTTGTCATTGTAGCACCACAATGTCAGATCCCCATATGTTGTCATTGTAGCACCACAATGTCAGATCCCCATATGTTGTCACTGTAGCACCACAATGTCAGATCCCCATATGTTGTCACTGTACCACCACAATGTCAGATCCAAATATGTTGTCATTGTAGCACCACAATGTAAGATCCCCATATGTTGTCATTGTACCACCACAATGTCAGATCCCCATATGTTGTCACTGTAGCACCACAATGTCAGATCCCCATATGTTGTCATTGTAGCACCACAATGTCAGATCCAAATATGTTGTCACTGTACCACCACAATGTAAGATCCCCATATGTTGTCACTGTAGCACCACAATGTCAGATCCCCATATGTTGTCATTGTAGCACCACAATGTCAGATCCAAATATGTTGTCACTGTAGCACCACAATGTAAGATCCTCATATGTTGTCATTGTAGCACCACAATGTCAGATCCCCATATGTTGTCACTGTACCACCACAATGTCAGATCCAAATATGTTGTCACTGTAGCACCACAATGTCAGATCCCCATATGTTGTCATTGTACCACCACAATGTCAGATCCCCATATGTTGTCACTGTACCACCACAATGTCAGATCCCCATATGTTGTCATTGTACCACCACAATGTCAGATCCCCATATGTTGTCACTGTACCACCACAATGTCAGATCCCCATATGTTGTCACTGTAGCACCACAATGTCAGATCCCCATATGTTGTCACTGTACCACCACAATGTCAGATCCCCATATGTTGTCACTGTACCACCACAATGTCAGATCCCCATATGTTGTCACTGTACCACCACAATGTCAGATCCCCATATGTTGTCACTGTAGCACCACAATGGCAGATCCCCATATGTTGTCACTGTAGCACCACAATGGCAGATCCCCATATGTTGTCACTGTAGCACCACAATGTCAGATCCCCATATGTTGTCACTGTACCACCACAATGTCAGATCCCCATATGTTGTCACTGTTCCACCACAATGTCAGATCCCCATATGTTGTCACTGTAGCACCACAATGTCAGATCCCCATATGTTGTCATTGTACCACCACAATGTCAGATCCCCATATGTTGTCATTGTAGCACCACAATGACAGATCCCCATATGTTGTCATTGTACCACCACAATGGCAGATCCTCATATGTTGTCACTGTTGTAGCTCGAGTCTTTGCTCATGCGCTGAGAAAATGTTTTTGTAATATATTTCTGTCACATAAAGTTATGCCTCATTTGTCTCATGAACTGCCCCCACCCCTGACACCCCCAGCATTGCCAGGAATAAGTCCTATCATCCCAGACAAGCGTCGATGACTCTAAACTAGGCGCCCGTGTGTATTCTGTTAGCGTTTAGCTGTTGTGAAATTATGATTTACTGATTTTTAGATGCTGTCATGAGTAAGCATGAAATTATGATTTAATGAATAAAATAACTACTGTATATTTAATCACATAACCGAAGGTGTTGAATTAGTTTGTTGTATATCTAGTGATGAGTGAGTTTTTCTTTAAAGTGGCATGTACATTGTGTTGGTTGGTACTACCAGAGACGTTACACATAAAGTGGTTGATGAGACATAAAGATGCGAAACAAAAAGCAACAATAGTTCAGGTCTGCGCTTATATAGAAACAGTCATCATCAAGTGTCTTGCCAGCTCGGGAGGTGACCCCGCTTCTCCACATCTCGCGATCTCCAACAAGACTTTTCACTTTGTTTTCTGACAGCACAACAAATTTAGGAACTGTAATCAGGGCAATGCAGGCAAGCTATATGGAACCAGTTTCAACATAACGGCTGTGTAGACTGGGCAATTAATAAACAACCCGAAACATATCTCCAGACCTCAGAGATGCGGTTTTACAGATGAATCCTTCGAATTCCTTGGACAGCTAAGAAGAGCTGTCCGGATGTTTGGAAAGAGGCGAGTGCTTGAAGACAACTTATCCCAAACATCAGAAAGAGACATTCGTCATTTTTTGGTCATGTTATGAGAAGAGGGAAACTGGAATATGTTGTGACCACTGGAAAGTTATGTGGAAAGAGAGACACAGGAAAGGCAGCGCGATAAGATTCTTGACAGTCTTTTATCCTGGCATGGAGGGATGTCAGCACACAAACTGATACACACAGTTACGGATCGCCGATTGTGGAGAGGAATGATCGCCCAGTGGACAAGGCACGTGATGATGAATCAGAGCAACAACAACAACAACAACAAAAAGGTAAATTAAAGTTCCCAGACGTCAATGCTGTCC